AAAAGGTGGGAACGTCGACATGCATGAAGGCATATAAAAAGGGGCAAGGGACGTGGAAAAAGTTGGCAAGAGCAACTAGGCAAAACAATGAAACAATTAACATAAACAGCGTGGGAAAAAGGAAAGTGGAACAAGAGGTGCGAGATGCAATGGATATTGATCAACAAATAAAGAAGATGAAGGAAATGGAAAAGGATATTGTGCAAAGAGAATTTATAACGGCGGAAACTAATATTCAATCCGTCAAGAGTCATGAGGTGCATATCTTGGAATTGTTATGAGCTTGGGAACTTACGAGCAGTTTAGGCTCTTCATGAATTGGTGGAGAGTTAAGATCCCCATGTAGTTTTTTTGATTGAGATAAAACTGCATGAGAAGAAATTGAACAGAATAAAAAATAAATGCAAAATGAAGGGTTGCTTTGGAGTTAGCTCAGAAGGTAGTTGTGGTGGAATTGCTATGATGTGGAAATCAGAATTGGACATCAAACTGAAAAGTTTCTCTAAAAGCCAGAAAGATGCTAAGGTAAGGGACAAAAACAACACAGATCCATAGAGAATCACGGGGTTTTATGGTGAATCGGATGCAAAACAGAGGCATGTGTCATAGGAGCTCCTAAAGGAATTGGCTAGACAAGATGATAGTGCATGGTTGTGCATGGGAGATTTTAATGAATTGACGTAGAATGGTCAAAAGATAGGGCAGAATTTAAGGAGGGAGAACCAAATGCAAGATTGTAGAGATGCATTAGAGGAATGTAGACTGGACGACCTGGGATTTACGGGACAATGGTATGCCTGGGAAAGATGAAAGACACCATAGACAAATATTAGAGAACGATTGGATAGAAGGTTTGGCAACAAGAAGTGGTGTGATGCTTTCCCTGACTATGAAGTAAGACACTTAACAAGCTCGGTTTCTTATCACTGCCTTATAATGATAAATACCCAAAGAGATGATCAAACCAAGGTTAAAAAGGGGAGGAAAAGAAGGCAAAGGTTTGAGGCTATTTGGATAAAAGAATTGGGAGCTGAGGAAATAGTGTCTGAAACGTGGAGGAAGGAGTATTCGTATAAAAGCTGTGGGGGACAAATTGCTTGGGTGGCATAAATCTTTTATAGGAGATAACAAAAGGAGAATGCACGCATTAAAAGAAGAGCTCCAAATGTTCAATAATATGGCCCCCATGTATGAAAATCTTGAACGAAAATGCATGGTCAGGGATGAATTAAATACTTGCATAAAGACTGAAGAAATTTATTGAAGACAGAAGTCATAGATTAAATGGCTCTGCGAGGGAGGCAAGAGCACTAGCTTTTTTCACGCCTAAGCATTGATGAGGAGGCGTCAAAACAAAATACGGGGTTTAAAAAATTCAAATGGGACTTGGTGTGAGGAGGAAGATCAAGTTAAACTTATAGCCACCGATTACTTCACAAAATTATTCCAGACTGATAACACTGACAACTTTGAGAATGTCCTTAAGGCTATAGACCCATGCATCACTAATGACATGAACGAAAAGCTATTTGAAGGATTCAAAGCCAAGGAAATTAGCAATGCCTTGAGCCAAATGAATCCCAATAAATCACCTGGACCTGATGGTATGCCTACACTTTTCTTTCAAAATTATTGGCATATTGTTGGGAAGTTACTAAATTTTGCTTGTCTGGTCTTAAGGGAGAATTAGACTTTAGAGATATCAACCACACCCACAATGTTCTGATTCCAAAAATAAAAGATCACAGGTCTATTACACAATTTAGGACTATTAGTTTGTGTAATGTAATTTACAAACTAATCTCAAAAGTATTGGTCATTAGGCTTAAAGATATTCTTCCTTATTGCATTAGTGAGGCTTAAAGTGCATTTGTTCCAGGTAAATTAATATCTGATAATACTCTTGTAGCTTATGAACTAATTCACTATTTGAAGAATAAAAAACAAGGAAAGTTGGAATCTTTTACACTAAAATTGTTCATGAGTAAAGTGTATGATAGAGGAGTGGAACTTCCTAGCACAAATCATGAAAAGATTAGGTTTTCACCAAAATTGGATTAATAGCATTATGAGATGTGCATATAGTGTTTCATACTCTATCATTATAAATGGTGATATCACTAACAAGTTCTCCCGAGGAAGAGGGCTTGCCAAAGAGACCCACTTTTTCCATATTTATTTCTACTATGTACAGAAGGGCTATCTGCACTACTAAGGAAATCCCAGATGCAGAGATCACTACATAGAGTCGGAATCAGCCAACATAGTCCCCAAGTTAGTCACTTATTCTTTTTAGATGATAGTCTTTTATTTGGACTAGCAAATACATGCAAAAGTGAGAAGATGATGCACATGCTAAAGAGATATGAAGAAAGCTCAAGCCAGAGGATAAATCTTGATAAGTCGGCATCGTTTTTTAGCCCCAACACTGCATAAAGGCAAAGGGAGGAAATTAAAAACCAGTTAGGGGTTCCAAAAATGAAAATCTTGATAAATACCTGGGATTACCTATGATAGTAGGGAGACAAAAAAAAAAAGGCCTTTAGAAAATTAAAGGATCAGCTAAGTGCGATAATGAATGGGAGAAGCCAAAGGATGCCATTGTTGGGAAGAAAGGAATTTTTCATCAAATCGGTCCTGCAATCAATTCCAGCTTATGCCATGGGATGCTTCTTGTTGCCACAAACGTTGTGTGATGAACTAAATCAATTGATCAGCAACTATTGGCGGAGAAATGACATAGGGAAAAAAAGGGATCCATTGGTAGAATTGGAGGAAAATGTGTTGGCCAAAGAATGAAGGTGACATGGGCTTCAGAGAAATAAGGGATTTTAACAAAGCAATGTTGGCTAAGCAGGGATGGAGACTCCTATCCACCTGTACACACTTGATCATAGAATCCTCAAGGCCAGGTATTTCCCGCGATGCAACTTCCTTGAAGCAGAACTTGGAGCTCGCCCTTGTTAACATGGCAAAGCGTCTAGTCAAGAAGGGCCGTTTTAAGCAAAGGACTAAGATGGCGAATCAAGAATAGGAAATCAACATATATATGGTCTAATCCTTGGCTCCCTTTTGCAGGTGATTTTCAACCGCAACAACCAATGAATAACAATGATCAAAGGGAACTTATAGCAGACCTAATTAACAAATAATGGTATAGGTGGAAATGAAATAGCTTGACGGACCGGTTTACACTAAAGGAAGCTGAGGTAATTAGTGAGATGCCATTAAGCAAGATGGACGAACTCGATAGATTAGTATGGCATTTTGACAACGAAGGGTTTTATACAGTGAAGAGTGGCTACAAGTTGTTGTGTAATCTCAGCAAAGAGGCGGAAGGAGATAAAGTAGAAATTGAAGAAGCCAGAAGAGGTAGGAAAGTTTGGCCGCTTACTTGGAAAAGTAACGTTCCCACAAAAATTAAAGCCCTGAACTGGAAAGTCAACGAAGGGTTTTTACCGATCATGGTGAACCTGAGGAGAAAACAAATTCCTGTCCATAGTACATGCACGAGGTGCGGCTTTGAAGAAGAGACTAATGCATGCAATGAGGGTTGTAACTGAGCAAATAAAGTGTGAGATAACCTAGACATGCAATGGAATGAAGAATGTAACCAACAAACTGATAGCCTAGACTTGATGACAGATGTGGCGACAAAGTTGACAGAAGATCAATTCACTCTTTTTTTTATTGGAACATGGACAATATAGAACGAAAAGAATCATGAAATTCATGGCGAGCAATAGAGGGATCGCAGGATGTCAGCGATTTTTGCAAAGGAATCTGGCAGAGTTAAAGAGAACCCAACAATAGAATCCATGTGAGCTATCACAGAAAATGAACAATTGGAGACCACCAGCGAATGAAAGCTACAAAGTCAATTTCACTGGGGCGGTTGAGAAGGCAAGGAAACGGGGAGAAGGGTTCTGATCAGAGATTGGGAAGGCAACATGATAGGAACTTGTCATGTCTGCTTAGCAGAAGTAACAAATGCATTTGCGGTTGAAGCCCATACAGCAGTTAAAGCTTTGAACTTTGCAGAATACTTAGGACTACAAAAGATAGAACTAGAAGGGGACTCACTCACTGTGATCAACAGGTTGAGGAAGAAGCATGACGACCTATCTCTAATTGTTAATCTGATAACTGAAACAAGTGAAACAATTATAAGGTATGTGGACTGCAGATTATCACATGTTCCTGGAGACAGAAATAAGGGTGCACACTACTTAGCGAAATAAGGGTTGGTAATAGATGAGGAGAAATATTGAGTAGAGGAATGTCCTACTTTCTGTAATATATTGTGGACAGTGATATGAGTTCCGCAAATTTTAGAAATGAATGAAAAAATCTCAAAAAAAAAAAAAATCTATTGAACATCACTTATAAAATGATTACATAAATAAATTGAGTTAAATCTTGGCATTCAGTCAATATATATTTTACAATGGGATTTAACAAACTTATAAATACTTGACTTTGTGAAACGGGATTTCATGAAATTTATGAGGTCTTCCTTTAGAAATTATTAAATAAAGATTAAATTTGAAAATTGATCTATGAGAGACAAATTTTGGAATAAAGTGGAGAAATCAATTTCTTCCAAAACATCTTAAGGCCATTTGGTGAAATCAAGTGATTAACATCAACCCCCCATTAGAGCATGGATGAGAGTGCTTTCTGGTAAGCTCATCAAAAAATTTTGCCACTCAATAATAAATGGCAGCCATTAGTGTTATACAAACAACATATCTAAGAAAAGAGAACAATCAACTCCTAGATGTATGTTAATGTGAAGAAAGAAGCTTGGATTAAAATGCCAACGATCAGTGATTAAAATCAAAGCCGTGAAAGAGGTGCAGAGATTGTAAGCCGAACTCCCCTGCATCTCTCTGGACGAGGAAGAATCATATCCCTATTAAAATTATTTTTTAATTTTATATAATTCAATACACAATATCAAATCAATCAAGAAGATTTTTTGGGTAAAATTACTCGCAATTAATTCTAATAAATTACACAATTGTGCCTTGGTAGATTGCAGATATATAAAATTCCTATAACACCTGTATCAGAACAACATTATCATGTTGCAGGACATGAATCACTGAAATTCACATTCTTCTCACTCAACATCAAAGTAGGAAGTACCATAATTCCTTCCATTATCAAAGGTAATCTGAAAATTATCCACATTTCATGCAGAATGACAAAAGAACATGCATTCCCATTGGCTCATTTGTTCATACTACAGAATTCCAATATAGAGAGAATGCCTAAGTTGACTTCTTTGTGATAAAACTATATACCAGCCAAATATTCCACGTACAGGAGGACCCCTAATCTTTACAAGGCTCCAAGATAGCAATGTACACATATACTGCTTGCATTTCCCAGAATCATGTCTTCATCACTGGGAAACCATGACGACAAATGTAACCAGGATAAATTTTGCTACAACCATTCATTCAGAGGTCCAATTCATCAGACCCTGGCAATGAAACTGGTCCTAGTGAATCAGCATCTACACTGGCAAGCATCTCGAAGTCCCTACTTGCATTTATCCATCTTACAGCAAGCACCAAGAAACAAACCACAACATCCTTCTCTATCTTTGAAAGCTCGTCACTTATGAAGACTGGTTTTGCACCAGGAATATATTGGTAATTCGACATTTTCCAAGCTGAGAGAAAAGCATTTCTGACTGGTCCACATCTCAAGAACACACCGTGTTGAGATATGTAGCGTACAACTCCTTGCAATACTTCTCCCTTGAAGGGCTTGAAGGTCCGACAAGTAAACACTACTGTGAAAACCATATTTCCTGACTCATCAATAACATCACATTTACCTATACTTCTCAAGCTAGTTACAGCTAGAAAGTAACCATGATCCTCACTGGCTTTCTCCTTAAACAGGTCCTTGAGTAGGCATGCTAGTATGGACGTCTGTGAAACCAGTCCATTTTTATTCAAGTTTCTAGCATGTAGCTTCACATTCCTTTGCAATTCCACTTCAAAAAACATATCTTGTATCAACTTCAGAAAGACAAAGAAAAGCAGAATCAATAGAAAGGTGTCACAACAGATTAAACATCTGCTACTAGAAAAGCACTTCTAAGACTCAACGATCAAAACAGACAAAAATCAAATGAGATACCAGGTAAATCAAATAATTACAATTAATGTTGAAAAAAGAATTAATGGAAACGTTACAAAGAAAATAACTCAGGCCAATTGACAAAAGGCACAGCTGTTAGGCCACATAATAATATTCTTAAGAAAGGTGGTCTAAATTTCGAGAAATGTAAACTAGATTATGCTAGCACCTCTACTAACAATGACATCAACATCCTCTGCCCCTCCCACCAAGCATCATACATGTGACCCAAGTAGCATGAAAATTCACATATGCAACAAGATTATAATTCTATAGAGAAGCTTGATTTTTCCAAAGGAAGCCCTTTCATTTGATGATGAAATAGGGCATTTCTCACACACATAAATGATATACAAAGGTCATAAGCATGCCCCCTATGCTTTTTCTTTTTTCTTATAACTATTGTGTTGTTTTGGCAAGAACAACTCCTTGCAATTCTTCTGCCAGAAGGGTATGAAGATGTGAGAACACAGAATCACACATCTATATTCACCCATGACCCATCCTTTGGCTTAGAATTAGACATCGAGCAATTTAATACAGGAAAGTAGTCATTACCATTGCTGGATTTCTTTCTGAAGCAGTGCACCAGTAGGCATGCTTCAATACCTCCAAAAAAACCAGCCCATTTTTATCCAAGATTTTAGCATGCAGTGGAAGATCACTTGATGATTCATTCCACTTTCATAAACATCTTTATCTATACTTCAACAAGCCCAAGATAAGCAGTACCAATAAAAGGACATCATTATAGATCAATCAGCCTGTTTCACAAGTGTATCTTCCAAATGATTAAAAGGTACATGAATCAGCCAAAGCTCATGCCATAAAATCATGTCAATCAGATGAAAGTTAAACATTGAACAAAAAAGGGATTAAATATTTTAGATCAAAAAATAAAGCAACCAAAGTCCAACGGAGAGACATCAGCAATTTTGGCAATGACATTGGTGGAAGGATGTAAAAAGGGCCATTGCGTGAATTCCCTGCCTATACAAGATTCCATAGGATCACCCATTTAAACACTTCAGAAAACTCTACAAATAATTCCACCTCAGCAAAATGAATCATGATCTCTGTTTTTCATCTTATCTCTAGTAACAGATAAACCTGGTGGAAGGTTAGTTCAAAAGACAGCTAACTAAAAATTTCCACGAATCAAACTAAATGGTAGCATCCTCCAAGCAATTATTATCAACTAACCTCTTCCAACTCCACCTCTTCTCTTATCTAAATACATTATTATTATTTACCTCACAAAATTCAAATGTCGCTTCATATTACAGCACTGCCAGAAACAACGACAGTTCCAGGGGAAGCCATGTTATGATAATAAAGGGTGACACTGTCAAACCATTGCAAACTCGGTGGTTTCAGACCAAAAATTTTTACAGGAAATTCGGGATTCTCTTTCCATCTTGATGCTAAAACAGCGAACTTCAATTCTTTAAACTTGGACCAAATAAGTTTTAGATTTTCATTGTTCTATTGCACCAAATAAAACAATTAACACTTAAAAATCACATAATTAATTCAATTTCAATTGCTTCCGAGTGTTACTCAAAACACCCAAAATTTCCAATAATAAACCCCCAACAAATTCATAATACAAAAACAAAATACAGTCTTTCAGGAAAAAATAAATAAATTATCTATTAAAAATTTGGATATTGGGTTTTAAGAGAACGAACCTCGGTAACTGAAACCGCAAATAAGCTTTTTCTTCCTTTTTTTTTTTTCCTGTTTCCTGGCTGCCAAACAATTGTTTCTCTGCGCAGAAATCAGGAAACCAAAACCTCCTGCGCAGGGTGGATATTTTCAATTATGGTTTGATAAAATGCGCACGGTTTTTCTGAGATTTGTTTGGTTGGGTTGGCTTTCTAAAACCCAACCCGTAGTAGTAGCTCACTCGGCTTTCCCCAAACAAAGCTTGGAACCAATATTTTTTATCTTTTAATTTGTAATTAAAATGGATAGAAAGGTTTTTTTTTTTTTTAAGTTATATACGTGATCAAATATTATATTATAGAATTAATTAAATAAATAAATATTATATTATAATAAAATTAAAATTATTAAATAATTAATAAATAAATTATAAAATAACTAAATTATTAAACACATACAATAATATTTTAACTTAAAAATTTTAAGATTATATAAAGCATTAGCTATGTATTTAAATCCAAACAACCAAATCCATTTGCATTAAAATGGATGGAAAGTTAAAAAATTAATAGATTTTGTATTTGAAAAATTATCTTATACATTATCGTGTTAAATTTTTTAACTTTATCTAAAATTAAAAAAGTTTTTATAAGGATATATTTTAAGTAAATTAATATAATAAATAAAATATTTTAATTTCACTTGTAAAAATTTTAAAATTTATGATAATGTATAAAATAATAATCCTATAATATTTGGTTATATTATCATTTATTTGAATGATGTGTTATTTAACTATATTTTTATTTTTCAAAAATTATTACAAAGTGAAAATTAAAAACAAAATCGTATTTCATAATTGTTATATAAAATAGAATTTTGTATTATGCAAAATATTTTTATGCATTTAAATTTAAATTTTTATTTTTTAAAATTAAGAAATAATAAGCACAAAATATACAAATGATTTCATACTAATAATAAACTTTTTATGTTCTCCAAACTCCAAATAGAACTTTGTATTTTTAAAGTACTAATTACACATTTAAACCTATATTTTTAAAGTATTAATTACACATTTAAAGTATTAATTACACAAAAATCTTTAAATGATTTCGTTATATTATTAGTTTTATTGTAATTGTGATATCACACTGTTAAAAGGAATTTTTTTTTTTAATGTTAATCTGTTATAGGAAAACTCCAAACCATGTTTGGAGTACAAATAACATGCGGCCAAACAGGCGTCAGATATTTCTTCCCAGCCATGGATAATGTAATGATAATCAGCGGTAAGGCAGTGATAGAGCTCACGAAACTACTCTGAAATCCATTATCCATAGCCTTTAAAGTCTAAACCCTCCCAAAACCCTTTGTTAAATTACCAGTCTCTCTGTTCCTCTGATTCTTTTATATGTTCTTTATTCATCTAATCAATGACTCTATTACCCACTCGCCAATTCCATCCAACAACAACAACAAAAACGACCTTCTTAGATTCATTTCAAGCCTCTCTCTCCAAGATCCATGGCCTCCCTCTCCCTTTTTTGAGGTACAATTCATCAAATTTCCCTCTCAAAACCTTTGCTTTTTGTGCAACTAATCGTACCATCACTTCAAACTCACAATTTCACCAATACGCAGAAAGCGAAACCAAAGCTTTTCCCTCCAAGGATTCCACCTTTAGAAGTAATTGGTTAGATAATTGGAACAAAACCCACAAAAGAAATGGGCCTAAACCACCCAAAGCAGTGTTCAATTATAGAAAAAATGGGAATTTATGGAGCTTGTCTTATTCAAAGAGTGAAAATAATGGGAGTAGTACAATGGAGAAAATAGTGGAGAAATTGAAGAAGTTTGGATACATTGGAGAGGAAAATGAGCACGAAAGAAGCGGGTGAGAAAGAGCCAAGGAGAGTGATTGAAAAAGGGTCTATAGAAGATATTTTTTATGTTGAAGAAGGAAATGTTACCAAATACTAGAGGTGGGTTTTCAAAGGAGTCAACCTTTGGGGATGGAAACTGTATTTGGAAGTGATGGGGAAGTTAAGTTTCCGTGGGAAAGAGAAAGGAGGAGGAGGAGGAGGAGAAGGAAGAAGGGAGGTGGACAGCAAGAAGAGATAGTAAAACTTCATTGGCAGAATTGTGACTCTGCCTGAGTCTGAACTTAGGAGGTTAAAGAACTTGACGTTTCGGACGAAGAGTAAGATGAGAATTAAGGGTTCTGGTGTTACTCAAGAGGTGGTGGATACAATTCATGAGAAATGGAAGACAATGGAGATTGTGAGGTTTAAAGATTGAGGGAGCACCTGCTCTTAATATGAAAAGAATGCATGAGATATTGGAGGTTTGCTTCTGATGAACTTTCATTTTTGTTGTTTAGTTTCGTTTTGAAATTTGTAAAAAGTTCTTAAACTTTTCCTTGGAAAGTAGAAATAAGAGAAGAGTAGAATAGATCAAATTGATAAGTAAGAATATGAAATTAAGTATATATTTTGAGTCCTTGCCAACATTTGAATCTTGACTTTAATCTCTTTGAGAATATAAATATAATTTCTAAATTTGATGTTTACTTCATAGTTATGCTGGTTGGGCAATGGGCAGTGATATGATGTACCTGTTTGACTGTTGTACAAAAAGGAAGGAAGTATAAATAACAGTATAATTTTAGGGGACAATAGTATGTAAGAATGTTATAATTCGATTCGTCAATCTCTATGAAAAGTTAGTTATCTATCTTTTGCTTATTTGGCTTTTCCATCATCTTTTTTGTGCAGAGAAAAACTGGAGGATTGGTAATTTGGAGGTCAGGGACTTCTGTTTCTTTATATAGAGGTGTGAGTTATGAGGTTCCTTCAGTGCACCTAAACAAACAAATATATAAGAGAAATGAGGTGTCAACATATTCCTCACCACCAGTGTCTGATAAAACTAAGGATCCTTCTGACTTGGTTTCTCAAAAAGATGTGGCTCCACCTCAAGCAAACTCTGAAACTGCTGCTGAGGAGCATAAAATTACAGCATCATTGCCAGAAATAAAGTACGAGGATGAAGTAGACAAGCTGTTAGAAGGCCTGGGTCCTAGGTACACAGATTGGGCAGGATGTAATCCATTACCAGTTGATGCAGATTTGCTTCCTGGAATAGTTCCTGGGTATCAGCCTCCATTTAGAGTACTTCCTTATGGAGTAAGATCTTCTCTTGGAGTAAAGGAAGCAACATCTTTGAGGAGACTTGCCAGAGTTCTTCCTCCACACTTTGCTCTCGGTATGCTACATTTCTTGTGTCACTGCATATCATCTAAAGATTGTTCCTTTGAATGTCTAATGAAGTATACATCTCCAGGTAGAAGTAGGCAGCTCCAAGGTCTGGCTTTGGCCGTGATTAAATTGTGGGAAAAGAGTTCTATTGCAAAGATTGCACTCAAACGAGGAGTGCAACTGACTACTAGTGAGAGAATGGCTGAAGATCTCAAGGTAATTAAACTACTTTTTCTCATTTGTTTGGTTGTTATCTTTATCTCAACTAGTATCTGATACTTCCTATCTGTTTTGTCTGTCTATGTACCCTGAGCTTTGAAATTTTATAAGGAAAACAGCTTGGCTTTTGGATACTTAAAGAATAATGTGCTTATTCATGGCCAAAAGAATGACACCTTAATGTATTTTGTTTCTTTTCATGCACATAACCTGTGTTGGAGTGGTACTACCTATATGTTAGTGGACTTTGTCAACTGTCCCTGCTCTCATCTTATTGTCAATTGCCTTCTGTTGTTTGGAATTTAGTTCTTGAAATATATGCAATTGGACCCATGAGGAATAAGTTAAATCAACTTAAATATGAAATAAGCATAACATATCAGTTTTATGTATCATAAGAATTCGGCATTCCTTCAATAATTGGTTAAGTGATTCAACTAAAACATACAACTTGATCAAACTTCACAAATTCTTCTGTTCTGGCTTTCTTTATCTGATTTTAAGAATATACGGGTGATAGACTGTTGCCTGATTAAGTATTACGGTTTTTTCATTTAATATATTTAGAAGAAAACAAATCCTGGTAACTCTTGGTGATGTGGACACTTAATGGCATTCATATCAGTTATATTTGATAAACATGTTAAGTTCAACTATTTGGATTCTTAAAATATCATATTGAAATGTTAATAACGTAATTCTGTTGATTGGCTGTAGAAATTGACAGGGGGCATACTTCTCTCTAGGAACAAGGACTTCTTGGTTTCTACAGGGGAAAGAACTTTTTGTCATCAGATGTTGCTGAAGCATTATTGGAAAGGGAAAGATTGGCAAAGTCCCTGCAAGATGAGGAGGAGCAGGCACGGTTAAGAGCGTCAGCTTTGTTTGTACCAAGCACTGAAGTAACTGAGCAATCAGAGGCTGCAGGTACCCTTGGAGAAACTTTGGATGCAGATGCTAAATGGGGGAAGAGGTTGGATGATCATTACAAGCAAAAAGTGATGAAGGAAGCAGAAATCTTGAGGCATTCCAATCTAGTCAGGAAACTTGAAAAGAACCTAGCTTTTGTGAGTTCATTGAATCTTCAGTCACTATGTTTTCATGCATTATTTCTTAGTTTTATACGCTGAATGCTGACATTGCCTTTAATTTGTATATTTAGATGATAAATTGGTTTAAATGAGGAATTTTTGCATTTCAGGCTGAGCGAAAGCTATTGAAAGCTGAGCGAGCTTTATCTAAGGTTGAGGATTATTTGAAACCAGCCAACAGGCAGGCAGATCCAGAAAGCATAACTGATGAGGAAAGGTTTATGTTTCGCAAGCTCGGGTTGAGGATGAAAGCTTTTCTACTTCTTGGTATCTCTCATTCTACAACAGTTATCACAGTGTTCCTTTTTATAATTTGAGATTTTATGGCGAGTTTAATTTCTTGCTTCAGGTAGACGTGGAGTTTTTGATGGCACCATAGAAAACATGCACTTACACTGGAAATACAGGGAGTTGGTAAGATCATCATGAAGGCTAAAACTATCGATCAGGTAAAAAAGGGTTGCAATAGCGCTTGAAGCTGAAAGCGGTGGAGTTTTGGTTTCAGTTGATAGAATCTCCAAAGGATATGCCATAATTGTTTACCGAGAAAGGATTATGAGCGACCTTCTACAATAAGGCCAAGGAATCTTTTGACAAAGAGGAGGCTTTGGCACGTTCAATTGAGCTTCAAAGACACGAGGTATCTCTCAGAAACTCCTTCCTTGGCAAATATGTAACTACGTA